ACAAAAAGATTCAATTGCACCTGGGCGTATGAACACTAATAACGCTGATTTGTCCAACCAAACAATTCAACAGCTCAAGAATTTAGTCTGCTGTGAATCAGCTATTTTGTCAGTACGCTCGTCTGGCATGATGACTTCTGTATGGTGTCCTTTCTGACCACATCGCGTAGAAAGACAGCCATCCTTATTCCCGACAATTGAACTCTGACGTGACCCTTGTTCGTATTTCGAAACAGCCACAACGTCCAGCCTATCCGTGAGTGTCATTCAGTTCTGTATCCAACAGTCACGTTGTCTCCCCTGATATTGGGGAGCGGAGTGAGAATATGATCTAGTTAAGGAAAGCAATTTTAAATAGTTTACTAACAACAGGATACATTGAATTTTAACGATCCTTGAGCGACTTAAATTCTTTACCTCACGTTACTTCAAGGTTACAAAATTATTGATATTCAGAAAGTGTCGCCTACATTGGTAGTCATATTCTTACAGCACACGGAAATGACGTCACACACATTGTTATGAAGCTGAAGGGGGTGTAAGGATGGTGAACATATTGGGCAGAGGAATTTTGAAGTTAGCCGGGCTAACAATGTTATTTTATCTTTCTAATAGACAAATAATGTATAATCAGTAATACGTTTCAGAATGCATACTTTTCATTCAGTTCATGCTGTTATTCTGATTGGGAATTCAAGTTTCGTTCAGTTATTAATTTTAAACACCTGAAAGTAAAAGTGGTTTAATGTTTCCATATTTTTTTAAAGAAGCTATATATTATCATTCTGGTAGCCCAAATTTCTTTATTGATACGTACTTCCGTATTCACGTCTTTAACAAACCATTTTGTATTCTAATGCTAAAATATACGAAGGAGGATCTCCCCGTAATTCGCCTAAATGGCTCGAGGAGAACCACGAATAATTCAGTCAATACAGGGCCGATATTGCAGGAGACTGTGCTAACCACACGACAACATCGTTTGATAACAAAACATTTACAGTATTGCCAAGATACGTTTATTTCTCTCACACAGCATTCTTTACTTTAACATTTTATTGTATTTGGGAAACATATTTTCGCACAGTATTTTGGTTGCAGAACCATATCACTATGTCAGAACACCATATAGAATAGGTTAGCAATGGAAACGTATATCGGGAAGAATTGTTTACAGAACACCCACGAGTAAAACTTTTCGAAATTGGATACACAGATGGAAGATAAAGAGAGAGCTGTTCTGAAACGTCTACCATAACACACAGCGCTACATTCCAGTCTTCATACGCGTCGCCGCAAGATCCTCAACTCTGAACAATACTTCAGTCACAAAATTAGACCACCTACTTAAATTAGTTCGACTTACTAACTGAAGGATCATCAACTTTTCAGATCTAGAATACGCAAGGACGAAAATAATCAGAATATTGCACAGTTCGGCAATTACGGAAGAGTTCCGTTCGTACTCGTGTTTAATGCAAAATTTGTATGCAAATAGAGCAACTCTGACTTGTTCTGGAAGCTTTTATCTTCAGTAGACTAGTGGCTTAAGTCTCATTTCAAATAACACCTTCTAATTTCAAAGAAAGCAAAGTGTTTGTATACTAAGAAGGGTAATTCTCAGCCCAGGCGAACATACGGGCGGAACCTTGGCGTAAATTGTCTTTTTACCCGTGTTCACACACACTGAGATCGATGACTAGAACCTTCCTCGGGACACAGTGAACACCCGCGTCTGTCTGTGCTGTGCTACGTTGTTAGAGATCATCCTGTGGCACAGTCCTTATTAAACAGCAGTCAAGTTATAAATGTAACAGATTATATGGAAAAACTCTTATCTATTATAATAGGTTACACTATAGTGGAAACAAAGGAAGGAAAGAGGTAAACGAAGACATTAAGGAATAACATAAAAGACATGTTAGAACATCATCATCATCATCATCTCCATGGTTTAGCCTATTGTAGACTGTTCCGTCTCCAAGGAATTTTCTTTTCGAGTAAATAGGATACAGTACTCTGCAGTTAAAATTGGTCATTCCAACGTTTTTGTGGGCGGCCTTTACCTCGTTTGCCTTTTGGTTTGTATTTATACATTTTCTGTGGAATTCTATTGGCTTCCATTCTCTTTATATGCATTAGCCAATTCCTTTGATGTTCGCATATTTTATCCAGCAAGTTAAAAGTTCCTAGTTCGCGTCTAATATCTTCATTTCTCATATGATCTATTCTTATTTATATACATGTCAGAACAATAACGCATATTTTGTTTTTATTATATATACTGCAGTAACTGGTGTATTTATTCCCGTTTAATGAATCTGTTACCTTCGTACGTCATGAAACATGCTATAAAATAGAATAAAACACCGTGGAATACCAGATCATTAACCTAACGCAGATAACACCCGCATTTGTTAACGTCTCTCCGTATTCATAATCATAGTAACTCCAAGGGGCAGAGTGTTCTTGTTTAATCTTGGGTGTTTCTCCCTCAAAGCAGCAAACTTCACACTGAGTCGATCGGGAAGAAAATTAAGCATTTAAAAATCCGAAATCATCTAATTAGAGGAAACCGTTCCAAAATGTTAATCAATATATGGACACGTTCGAAAGGCGGCAGGCAACAGAAACCCCAAAGAAATCTTGGACTGTATTTCACCAGGAAGGAAAAAGAAAAAAGGAAGACCAAGAGTTGGATAGAAAGAAGAGACACAAAATGCATGGGCAGAGATACAAGTGGAAGTGATGTAAATGGATATAGAAAGGCTGCGGAATCGGAAGACGATAACGACGTTAAGAAATAAATACGCACAAAACTGTTGGCATGAGGTGACGTAGCTTTCCTCGTTACTTATCTCGTTATTAGAAGGAAGTGATACATCGTATTGATTTTTCACGCGGTACTGGCGACTGAACTGAGGTTACAATGTGTGAAATCGTGTGGTTACATCGTCGGCTACGCTGTGGACCGAACGCTCGCATGGCTACACATAAAGCGGTGACATACCGCAGGGCAGCCAACACACACCACGGAAACTGATTCTCGCCACAACCCTCCACATCTTCCTGTGTAGACGTTGGTGGATTCCGTCTTCTGTTGTGGCAAACCATGAAAATTACAGGATATAACAGACCGGATGCATTAATCATTCAGACGCTCTGTTATTCAGGTAGGAAACCCGTCAGTTGGTTGGTTAATGCATGGACCTCTCTCGGTCGATCGGTCAGTCACTCAATGTGTTTTCCTCTCTTTCGGGCATCCAATTGGACAGATCGAAGTCGATGAGTCAATACTTAATCGGCTTGACAAATTGTCGGTCAAGTGGTCATTCAACACGAACTTAATCGGTTCGTCAGCTATTTTTTGCGTATCGCCTATCGCTTGTTACCTGTTGCTTCGGTCTGAACTCTTCCTAATAGAAAACGTCACCGCGAATCTGGAATGATCAACACATGGTTAGGATGGAGAAACAAAGAGTTACACAAAATATTGGTGGGGAAACCTCTTCAGACAGAGGACGCCGAGGCTACTGGGTTGGAGAGTGGCAGGATTGGCTTAAGAATGTGTCCAATTGCAGGCTTTGGTGTTAAGAGTGCTGAGCCTCCCGGTTCAACTATAAGAGGGTTTGACCCGTTTCAGACCTGTCTGTAATTGTTTCAAAGTTATATATATCGTTCACACCATGGAAAGCGTTAATGCTCTTAACATTAAATGCGCCTTGTAGTTCCTTGTGGCGCGTACTGTTCATCTGTCACGGAAGAGAAAAATGAAATCACGTGTCAACCCACTTCCATCAGACAATCTATAATTGCGAATTGCCATAACAGTATTGATCTGTCTGGCAACGTCAACCACATTGGGTACCGCCCCACCACCTAGTGGAAGCCATATGAACTTCCAGCTGCAGAACTCCCAACTACAAATTCGCCATCGATATGCGTATACGGGTATTTGTTACAAGACTGAAAATTTATTTCATCAAAACACCTGACAACAGAATGTGTTTCTTCAGGAAGAATAATTATTACAGTGTTTATTCAAGTGTAGTGTGACATATTCATACGGAATTTTGAAATGAAATGCTTGTCATAAAATATAACACATGGTGGCAGTTCTCATTAAACTTTACAATGAATATAAGATATTTCCTACAATTCTAATGCGATTTCATAGCCAAGAAACCACGTAGCGTGTGCATGAAATGGTAATTGAATAAGAAACAAACCTGACACGTGCACAGATACGTAGACAAGGCAGAAAAGAATTAAATTACGACGGATATAACAGGAGCAGTTGAATTAACAGGCAGGAAGAATACATGAAAATTCGATATTAACAGAGAATAACAAGAAATTCTCAAGTTCGCAAACATTTTGAATCTCTGCAGCATTATTTAAATTAAAAAACAAACAAACAGCTTCATCCTTCTATAAGTAAAGGCCAAGGAAAAATAAATTACAGAGCGCGTCGTCTTCTAACTTAGTAAATTCCTCAGCTGTTACATTTTACGCGTTTCATATTCTAATATGTTCGTCCGCGCTTAGGTAATGTTTCCCTCGTGAGCGAAAGAAGATCTAGTAGTCGTCAGCAGAATAATCGACTAATCAGTATGCGATACGAACCCGAACCAAATGAGTTGCTAATTTTCACGTCCCTCAACGTGACAATGGCGCACTAGTTAGTTAAAGCACGGATAATGAGTGAGGTACTTTGACGCGAGAATTGTTCTGCATTATCGATTTGGGCCGTGAAGTATAACTCCTTATTACGGTGGCTCCACCCTAGAACCAATTGCTCGGTCTTTTAACTGCTCCGGACTACACCAGTTTAAGTAAATGGTATAGAATAATAATAATTTAAAGACGGTTGTCTCTTAGATTGTTGGGTCGTGTAGTCTGGTATAATTTTATCATTGTTTCAGAGGCAATAAGCACCTATAAAACGTCGGTGAAGTTTCACCAGACTAAACGGTGCAACAACCCAAAAATACCACCCTACTCGCCGATGTGGCAACCTGAAATCTTAAGAAATAATCAACATCTTTCGTTCATATTTATGAAGTTAATCTTTTTCGCTTAACTAGCTTAATACAGCGGAGTGCTTCCCTCTGTCAGTCAAGAAACTTTCCGACACTTATGGAACTTAAAAATTAGATACAATGTTCACAAAAGTCTGCCGCCGTCCTTAATCTAAGCATTGTGAATCCAGACAACCACCACCTATACGATTTACTTAATAGTATGATCCCATCTACTCTTTGATTTTCGAAAGGGTCTATTTCCTCAAGGCTTTTCAGCCTTTGTGCGCATTTACCATCGCCTCAAATAATGTAAAATCTCCCATCTATAACCATTCTTTATTTTATAAGCCTATTAATACGTAGCAAATTAAAAAATTTATTAAGGTCCTCATTAAGCAGTTTTCTTCAGCCTCCCGTTACTTTACCCCCCCCCCCCCCCCCCCAATAGGTCCAAATATTCTTCTGAGCGTCTTGTCCTTAAATATCCTCAATCTCTGTTATTTCCTAAATTAGAAAGATCAACTGAAGTTCTTGTTCTGTCGACAGTAGCATTAAAAAGTAAGTGTTTATAAAATTATATCAAATTCCCGAAACGTCGTATATATTAAGAATACCTCAGATTAGGTTAAACATAATAATCAGATTACGGTGGAAGAGCCACTATCACAGACTGTGGCTTATACAACAAACTTTCAAATTAATCTACAAAAATTAGAGTAAATTCAGCAGTAGGTACTAACCAGGTCAGTTCTGTCGCTTTGTGAAATAATGTGGCAAAACCTCCACTCGTCCTTGAAGACAAGGAGGAACTGATAAGACTGAATATCGTCAGGTTCATTTAGTGACCCCATTCCGTTATCAACTAACGTCATGTTTCTTGTTCCAGTGTTGCCAACACACTACAACACCACGAATTAGTGCAAGTCAATTTACACATGCTACTTTAATATAATTTCTTATCAACAATTATTTTTTTAAATACTCGAATTATGTTAATTATTTTTAAACATATTTTTATAACTGTGATATTTTAAACGTCGATTTTAAAAGATTTCATTTTCTATATTTTAACTTATAATGGAAATGAAAAACAGTAAGGAAATAATACAATAATTCCACTTAGTGTCACTAAAGGTCGAAGCCCATCTTTCCAAATTTATCATTCTTATTCGTAGTCATGTAGTTTAGAAGCATGGTTAAATAAAGTCATAACCAAGATCCAATTTATCTATTTTATAAACCTCTGCATCTTTTCTTTACTACATACATAGCAATACGCCCTTCCCTGTATAATTCTCACTCAAGATATTGTTAACAAATCATTCATATAATATGTTTAAGACTGCTTTGATTAAGCAAAGACATCTACTTAACATATTTACCTTAAACTATGAGGAATGCAACAGTTTTGAGATTCCTGACAAATTCCGTCGCACTGCAAATTTCTTTGACTATAAATTCCAAATTCCTCATATGTTGCAAATAAAAACTGAGTTATCACAGTTGTAATGTGGCGTGTTTAATCTCTCAGCCAGTCGACAGGCAATTTCCCAACGCTGCCTTCAGTATACCTGGCACAGTCGTACTGCTTAGTGCAGTGGACGTTAAATACGTCCAACAAATCCGCCTCGATGTTTAGTGCCTCAGAGAAACAAGAGAAGGCGTGCCCACGTGCTTAAAATAATCGATCATCTACTTCTTGAAATTGGTAAGAATTTGTTACACTCGTTTTCATTACATTTCTAATACAGTGTTAATTATTGTAATAATACTCTTTTTACCTATCTTAAAAAGTTATTGTTGAGATGTCAACTTATAAAAAGAGTTTACGTTATTTTGATCAAAAGAGTATCTGAAATATTCCAATGGCTGCGTTCATATGTCGATCAAACAATCCCAGCTGTCAATACAATCTCCATTCCAACATCTTGTGCATGTTAAAATATACACTGCCGCTGATTTATTATAAGATTGCTCTATATTATTCCACTCACATGTATAAATGTTTTGCTTAAATAATTAAACATTTATTATCATATTTAAATACCTACTTGTCATGGCTTATTAACTATCCCAGTCTTTTTACATTCCATTAAAATGCTGCTTTCCATGTTATTACAATACATTTTAATATTTCCGAAATTATTTTAAGTAAATATTTCTTTGTAAGTAATTTTCTCTTTACATCCAAATACAAAACGTGTAGTCCAATACACTTCTCTCCCCTCAAGTGATTTTAAAAATCAATATATTATTAATTAATTTATTATAGCAAAATACGCTGTATCTATCAGGAAATACTAGTCTTTTTAAACAATATCATAAAACGTATGTCTAAAACGTTTCTCTACACTGATAAACGCAGGGAATCAGAGTTTGGCATCGACATCTCAGCACAGTTAGCTTGCCACACGAGTGGGCCTCACAGGTAATGGCAGCTTTCGTTGCAGAGATTTACGGCTTCTGTTAACGACATGGTGTGAGGCACAAGATGGCGGTGAGGTTGAGGCAATGCTGCTGTGGCTGCTCCCTGAAGGAAGGAACAATCGTTGTCGGGGTAATATTCATTGTACGTAAAACCGAAAATTGTCAGCACAAAAGTACTCAGAACTGGTAGACACACCTGTGTGTGAAAAGCCTTTTTATCTCCCAGTGTTTTAGACGGTTGAATATTCAGAAGATTTGGTTTCACAATGCAATGAGTAGAATATCTGGAACTAAGACAGGAAAATAAGATAAAGACGAACAAAATTATACAGTGAAAAATTTCGTAATCTTAAATTATTAGGATTTCAAATTAAGAAAATTTAGAAATGAGAGGCGTATAGCACGCATGCGTGTGTACTGATTTTGTGAACACGGAAATAAATCATACTTTAAGAACTCAAATCGCGACTTTTGGTCAGAATGTCTCGCCCTTATTTAAAAGTATAATGGATATGAAAAAGTTTGCTCATTCTACTTAGCATCTTATATTTATTTGGGCTCTTGTGAACACGGTAATAAACCTTCTGGTTCCAAGAAATTTATTCTGTTATGTGGGATCTTGCATGTTACCTTCTGCAGAAGGATTCTTCCCAATGCAGTTAATTTAATTCAGTACTTGTATGGAGACGGAGTGTCAGTAGTTTAAGAACTACCAGAATCTGTTGGCATTGCGTGGGTACTGTTGTCGCAATGCACACAATTTAAAGACTGGTTGTGGAACAGGAAAGGAGAAGCAGTTTAATAAAGGTTTGCTCTAGTAATTTCACAGGAATACAAACTACAAGCTATACAAACAACTCTACTGCAAACAATGAATTGCTTGGATGTAATACAGCTACTTATCGCTTGATTGAAAATGTATTGATCTGAGTTAACGTTGTAGCGACGAAAACTGTTTCTCAGTAAATGACGGACAGGTGGATTAGTTTATAATGAAATGCATTCCACCGTACATCATTCAACCTACCAGCTACTGTATTTACAATCAGATGTCTGTTTGAACATGCAGTAGTCATTGTTTGAATGTTAATTATGCTCAAACAGTTTAATACTAAACCCACACTAGTTACAAACTATCCTCATTGTAAAACGGATACAGATAATGACAATGAATGGAATTTCAGACCACTTAACTATTCTGAATGAATACAACACTGGTATTGTTTTTAAAATTTGTATATGTTAGCGTTCAAAGCGGTAGTTGATGCTGTTTGGAGACCATCAGCATTAGTGCTATTATCATTCAGAGCAGAACTTCGTTCTATTGTAGTTTTTCGCGAATGTAAAAGTGGTAATACGTATTTAACAATTTAAACTAACTGCAAGTATCAGAGATTCCCTGGCTTTTATTGAATGCTCATTAGCGTTTTCAGAAAAGCCTGTCATTGGTCTTTTCCGTAGATAATTCTAGTCCATACCCTTCGGTCAATTAAATACATTCCCCTCCCATTCGCGCTTTAGCGTTAAATGCTAAAGAAAAATAAGCTATGCTAGTGGCATTACCTCCAAACTACATGTAATATGTGACATGTATCGTTATGATTCCGTCACCAGAGTATCTTTCGGAATCCTTAAAAGTCCATTTTAAAGTATAACTCGAACACACAAGTGGGCTCAATGTATAAAGACTTGTTCCACAGAAACTGAAATTATAGACATAATAAACTGCCTCAAGAAAAATATAAGAAGACAATTCTTAAGTTCTTCCATTCCGCATGTTTCCAAGGAAATTAGTTTTTCGAAAACCAGTAGCCAGGAAGTCATTCGACAGAACTGTGTGGCTTCCTATTCAACTGACTGACAGTGATAAAAAGGTCACTGTAATTATCGACAGTTTCGCGATTAAGTATCTGCTACATGGTTCACAAGATGAAGTGATAAAAAGGTCACTGTAATTATCGGCAGTTTCGCGATTAAGCTTCTGCTACATGGTTCATAAAATGACTGTCGTCTGGGTTGTTGTGCCGTGTAGTCTGGTAGAAGTTTACCAACGTTTCGGAGATCCTTGCTGCCTCCATCATGTGGGCGATGAAACGTCGGTAAACGTAGATGGTTCTATTATAGCAGCTCCTAAATTCCCAGGAGTTAAAAAATTCCCAATATGAACTCAAAGTATCGTCATACTTAATCACAAACGTAGCAATTAGATACTGTGATAACATTATTCTACTAAACGTATTAAATGTCTAACATAAGTTTTAAGCATGTATATTTCTTAGTCAGGACCAAAATTAGGATGCTTAAATGCCTGTCTACATTCACTGGAATTTTGAGAACTGACACATCCCCAATACGCACACCGCGTACATACGTGCACATACCCACAATGACATGCGTACGTATTAAGTTAATGAAGATGTATTTCTGTTGCAGATACTGTCCCTTGGAGCGCTTGCTTGCGGTGTATATTACAAAGTGAAATTTGCTAACGATTATTCACAGAAACACAGAGCGTGGTACAATCATCCTGAAGGTACGGAGTGAGTATCAGAAGTCTGAACAATGACGACCACAATCGACATCTTCGTCACTCTTATAATCGATAATCTCGAAAATTATCTATTGTCTTGAGAGTATTAGCTTCATGATCACCATGTTCCTATATCTATGTGTGTTCAATATATGTAGTTAAAATAAATTTTAATACTATTCCGCCTACGCTTCGTCTTCGTATGTAGTTCCCGACAAGTTCTGCAACGAAAATTCTCTTTACATTTCATGTTTCCGCATCCGTACCACGTGTTCTAATCGCCTGCACCTCCTCTATTAAACTGCTTTAACAATGTTATAGAACAACATTAAAAATATTTCTAATGTTAAATGGAATGTTTTAGGAGGATCCTCATATTTTAAATCCATGTGCTTGATTCCCTGTATAAATTTCAGAGCTTATTACATGTCGTTCATTTTAACTTTAATTTTGTCTTCGCGTGACAACATTGAACTTTGTATACTTTCAGTTATTCTGCCAACCTTAATCTTCGAGGTGGTTCTATGTGTGGCCGAGTTGGTAACTAGCAGCTTGCTCCTGAGGGGAGTTATCAAGGTAACGGGGCTTATTACATTCGGCGACTTAAATTGGGTGACGTAACACGAGGGTTATGGATGATCAATGGGTTATAAACTGAGTAACCTTTGTAGTTATAAGGCCTTTGTATTAAATGGACGATTAGCAGGAAGTTCTATATCTGTCGCTCCCAACGTTTCATCTCCGCAATTACTCAATGGATTTTCATAGAATGTAATACTGTGGGTCTACGTTAAATGCTATTGAAAGAATGTGATTATACTGTGCTCTATAAAGGAGTCAATTTAGCACACAACAATCCGGAAAATCTCCCTTTACCGTGTTAAAAGTGCATCAACGAAAAGTGATCTACACAACTGACTTCAAACAGGAAATTAAGTTCCAGCGACTAATGACTCGCTGAGTTAACCGTTCGCAAATTTGAACCACCGGTAGGGTTTAAATTGCAAATGCGTAGTATCTGCAGTCACAACATGACACTAGTATTTTCAAACGATAAAATCTGGAAAAAACTTATGACGACTTCTTGAATTTAAATGCTGCAATTTATAGTGTGAGACAATTAATTAATCACTATTAATCGGTAAGTGTCGAGCAATAAAGTCTATACTACACATTCCGATTACGTCACACCTGTCATAAATAATTTTATATTTTCTTAACATATACCCTACAAACTGTTTCATACGTAGCCCCAACTATAATTACGTTTATGCTCTTACGTCCTTGTAAAATTTAACATGTTTTGCCACATGAATCTTTAAATGAATAAACGTAAAATAAAAACGTATTTCTCGCAGTAAGTATAAAAATTTTGTGGGTAATTGGATTCATCGGTTGTTACCAGAATATTTGTTAACACTTCACTTCTTAACACATAAATTCACCAAAATGCATCATAGTTGATGCAATCATAAAACCCAACCAATATAACACAGACTGGCGTGTGAAACCACAATAAAATCCACACAGTAAGCTTTGAATTGTTTTGTGTACATCCACATACGAACCGCATCAAAGATTTCACTTTCATTGAGTCGAATTTTCCTTGAGTGACTTCCCTCGCGTAATTCAGAATAAGAACAAATACAAACATTCCAAACATTCTACTGCTCTCTTTAGGGACAGATTTCCATATGTCAACAAATAAAGGAATAATTATCTGCCCATGTTGATTTATGTTATTAGAAGGTATAGTTCATGACTCAGTTTCAATTCGTCTACAAACTATGTAAACATTCTCCAGTATAACTGCTCCCTTGTTCATTATATTCTCTGCACACCACTTCTGAACTCACAATACGTTACGTGCTGACACACGAGGTTCAAAAGGGTTAAAGCACATAACAGAATGTTCCCTGGAACAAATGGAATAGTACAGTGTGAACCTTCACAGCTGCAAACCGTGGAATTTCAATAAAGTTTGCCGAGTACTGTGGTTACCACTCTGTTAGATTTGCCTCTGTACTAATGTTATTTGCAGGAACACAAAGCATCTATTTCCGATTAGGACAATTTTCATTAAAAAATCTTAATAATTAACTATATTGTTGCATGGTTTTCTTGAAATATTAACAGTCAGCCAGCTAGTTAAGAATTTTACAAACATTTTATGAAAAATGAAAGTTTACTGTCGAGTACGCAAACGTTTGCCAGTGCACTCATCCTGAACCGTTTAATTCACTCCAAAGTCATATGATCTCTTTCTCTTTTAATAGTATACACCCTATCTGAGGCCAAGTATCTCAAGTTTTCAACTCCAGCGATATTTCCTTACCAAACATTCAAGTAAAGCAAAGCCATACAGGCGCTTTCTGGGAAAGTTCGGGTAGTTTTTTAACTCGTCACTAGACAAAGCTACTTCCAGCCGCGCTTTATCCTCAAGAAATCCTCTTCCCCCCCCCACACACACACACACAAAGTACCTATCGCATGGGTGTGTGAATGGGCCTCAGAACCGGTCTGGACGCAAAGACAGAAGGAAAATTCTTTACCCATGCCATGGATCGAACCCCGGTCTTTTCAGCCAGCCCTACTTCATTACCCCCTCCCCCGTAGATTTAAAGAAGGTTTATGTGCAGACTGCCTCCACTTTTTCTTCAAATGGCAAGGATCTTTTAATCCCAATGTTTTGAATTCCACTGCCCATTAGGGCAACCCTCTCAGTATTTCATTTTATCTTATTTTAATATTCAAGCAATATGGTATACTTTTAGATAATAACATTCGAGTTTTAATTGTATTTGTACAACATTACTTGTATAATTTATATGTTTCCGTTGTCTTTTTTTATTTGCTTGTAAATAATTTATTCCAGTTGTCAACCACTTTAAATAAAATTACTTGAATTATCATCATCATCTTTATAACTGCGTGCGAAGTGAAGTAGCTGAGACTGAGATTTCGTGTATACACGTTGAAGAATGGCGTCGTACTACGACAGACTCAATCTGCAACAAACACACAGTGCGTTGAATTCTCAGCCGCGAGATCTGTAATTCTGACGCCGGACACTTCTTTCTTGTTGCAGTACGACCGACGTCTTGTTATGCCATGGCTAGTGGGCAACGCGATGATGTGCGGGTTGCTGTTCCTGGTCGTGGTAGGCGGCGCCATCACTTGCTTCATCGTAACCGCCGCTCGGATCAGTGACGACCTTACGGCAGTCACGTACGGATTCGTTACAATGGTGTGCGGTGCCATCGCAGTTGGTAATACAGGCTGCAATTCCTTCTTTATTAAGTGTCTTGTAGCCACACGAATTCAAATCCTCATATTCGCTAATTTTAAATATACTGAAACTTGTGTAAATATATACTGGTATTCTTTCCGACTGGAGTTGCAAAGAGCTAGTCCTGCTTTTCAATATGGCTGACGGAAATCTGTTGTACAATAACCTACATGTAATAAGCAGAAATAGTTTCTGAACAGAATGTAATTCCGCTTTACTTTAGTGCTGGCGTGTTCCTTTTAACAAGAACAAATATTCAAAAACTTCACTACATTTATACGTTTTTACCAATTCTGTCCACAATGTACTCACTTTAACGAATGAACCGAACTTGGTTTCAGGGGTGTACGTATACTTACTGCTGGTTGTGTACAGCTTTTACTGCTTGTTGCCTATGCTTTCATCTGAAAGGATTGCTATTCTACTGGACCGCTTCAAGAACCCTTACGTACACCACACAGACGAAAGTGATCACGCGACGACGGCGGGTTGGAGCAACATCACAGCACCTCCCCGTTTCTCGGGCTACTAAACAATGATGAAGTATTTTAACTCCATTGTCATTGTATAAATCGGTGATAGACAATTTGGTACTAAAAAATTAGTTTCTGGTACTGATCATTCTTATAGGGGCGTAAAATAATAAACCATGACTATTTGAGACTAAACCTGGGTTAAATACATTTAGCCTCAACGGAAAATGTCTCAAATTCTGGAATTAAATACTTAAAAATATTAAAACAGGATGTAATAAGTAAGAAATGGAAAAAAATTGACTATGAAGTAAGAATCAGAAAGAAGTGGTTGAAGGAATACATTCTGTTAATATATTTATTTTTTCTATTCATGGAAATATGTTTCAAAGGCCTGCTTCCTGGAATATATTTGGTAACGTACGCTGTCACAAAAGGGAAAATAACTAAGCCCCATCGTCGACAGAATGTCTGCAGAATTCCTTAACGGAATATATAAAATGCAAATGAAGGATGAGAGCAAAGAAGTGAAGGAGAAACAAAGAAACAAGAAAATGATTACTGGTCAGTAAAACTGTGCTGATGGAACATCGCAAGTTGCATTACAGAGTTTTTATTTGGGTAATAAATATGGTAAATATATTGGAGTGTACTTTCATATAAACGTGAACAGCTGTGTTAATCATACATATTCATAATGCTTTATAAAAGGGGCTTACTGTATTTTCGTTAAATTCTGCAAAGGGACAATGGATTGGAATTCACAATACGTAGCTAGGTGGATATTACACACGCAACATTTTAGCTAGCGCTAACCCGTTCAGGATTTATCTCTCAAAAGGCCATGGTTACGTGTGAAGTACAGTATGTTCGACGAAGCAAATTTTAGTAGTGACACTAAAAAGTTTTATAATCCATATTTAAAGATGGCATACTTGCTGGAAGCATCACTATCCATAGCAGATTTACATGGTATTTTAAAAAAGGCAGGGGACTTTTTGGTTGGGGAAAAATGTAAATATTATTAGTATTAAAACCGTGCAAATCGGTTTTCAAATTACGGCTAAATGGACGCGGAAGAAAACAAACAAACAATAGGCCTAATTAAATTATAGTTGTTGTTTATTTTGTGATTTTGCAGGCAAGCACTAATTAGGTTAAATGCATTAATGATGTTTATACTTTATGTCGTGTAAAATTTTGTGCTAAAAAGGGCATCAACATAACGTAACATTTTTATAACGTGCTTTATTAAACTTCGAAAGATGTCCAACTTTGAGGCGGGCTTAGCCAGAGAGAAGACTAAATCGAAGATTACATCTTCTGAAAAGACACTTCCATGTTTATTAAAACCTATTACGAAATTTTTGATTTACTCTAATAATCTAGGAACCTAATGGAGTAATATACAGCATATACAAATTAGCGTCACATAATAAGTTTTATGAAACACTTTTTGGTTTTATCATCAAAGTTATTAAAAGTACAATGTTTATTAGCAGTGTAACTGGTAAAGAGGTAATAAAGATAGACTTAAGAGAAACTACCCGAATTAAGATTTGA